ATCGACCCAGGTACCCTGCGTAGCCTTGAGCAGCAGGTCATGGAGCTTGCGAGTGTTCTCAGTGTTCGCACTGACCGTCGTCTTGAAGACCTCGCGTTCCTTCTCGATCTGCTTGTCCAAGGCGTCGATGATGTCTTGCTTCTGCTCGGCATAATTCATGGCGAGCCGACGGTTCTCCGTCTGAACGTCCCTTGACTCCTTACTCTTTTCGAGAAGGGAGCCAATGTGAACGTTCGCTGACTTGAGGCGCTTGATCTCCGCTTGAAGCCCGTTCAACTCAGCCGTCGACTTGTTGAGGAGAGTCTCCAGAGACTCAACCCGGAGCTGGACAGGAACCAGTAGATGCTTGGCAGTGGCAGCTTCTTCTCGGGAGATCTTGAGTTGGGCGGTGAGCTCACCGACTGCATGAGGAAGATCCGGCAACGTGTCGGAGAGAGGTTGAACCGCCGCTAGCACCTGGTCGAAGCCGAGCGCGTCATTCAAACGACGCTGAGTGCGAATGTCACGCTGAAGTGGGGGTGAGACGCTGAGCTGGACTTGGTGCCGTGCTATTAGCGTCACGTATGGCAAGAGAGCAGTCCTCGCTGGTTCAGGATCCATGGGAGAAGTGCCTGACGGTGGCTGAAGACTGGCTACAGGGGGAGGCTGTCCAGTCGAACGATCGGTGTTGACCGGACGAGATTCCTGGCGGAGAGAGAGAGGTGATAAGCAGCTGGACGAAGATTAGAAGCCGGAATGGTGAGACTTACCTCCAAGCGTGCAGGGTCATGACGTCGGTGTGGAAGAAGTGCGTCGTACGCACGGTGTAGGGTGTGGTTGAGAGCGCCGCGGGGACGGGGCTCACGACGAGACATGGTCGCACAGTGGAAACGGTTTGGAAATGGATGATGTCACAACGGGCACCAGTGGCGTGGCTTCCATTGCGACAGGGCAGTTGTGGTGTAGCGGTTTCTAAGTAATCGCTGAAGTGGCTACATTCAAGTTGCTCAAGCCACGAACGCTCGGTCATGCGACAGGTGGTGACCACGGTGCAAGATGGCCAAGGACACGTCACTACCGAACGCTCGTCGGG